GTCCACCATCAACAAGTTCACCATTAACATGTCCACCATCAACATGTCCACCACCAACATGTCCAACACCAACATGTCCACCATCAATATGATTACAACAACATGTCCATCATCAACATCATCGCCACCAACGTGATCACTACCTACATGTCCACCATCAACATGTCCACCACCAACATGTCCACCATTCACATGTCCACCACCAACATGTCCACCATCAACATGATTTCCAACATGTCCACCATCAACATGATTACCAACATGTCCACCACTAACATGTCCACCATCAACATGATTACCAACATGTCCACGATCAACATGATTACCAACATGTCCACCAACAACATGTCCACCACCAACATGTCCACCATCGACATGTCCACCACCAACATGTCCACCATCAGCATGATTACCACCAACATAATTACCAACAACATGTCCACCATCAACATGATCACCACCTACATGTCCACCATCAACATGTCCACCACCAACATGTCCACCATCAACATGATTACCAACAACATGTCCACCACCATCATGTACACCAACAACATGTCCACCACCATCATGTACACCAACAACATGTCCACCACCAACATGTACACCAACAACATGTCCACCATCAACATGATCACCACCAACATGTCCACCACCAACATGGCCACCCTTGATGTGGAAGGGTGCAGAAGGTGCTGTCTCTGATATCTTATTCTCACCATTACTAAGCAGTAAACAGTCAACTCTCTACCCAGGACCGTACCGGTCTTTTGTTAGATCTGGCTCTTTTTAAATCTGATTTCGTTACAGCAACATCCATCCATCCATCCATTTTCTTTACCCGTTTATTCCATTTTGGGTCACGGGGGTCGCTGGTGCCCATGTCCAGCAATCACTGTGCGAGGGGCGGGGTACACCCTGGACGAGTCGCAAGTCCATCACAGGGACACATAGAGACAAACGAGACAAACAACCATTCACTCTCTCACTCACACCTAGGGACAATTTAGAGTTACCAATCAGCCTAACATGCATGTTTTTGGACTGTGGGAGGAAACCGGAGTACCCGGAGAAAACCCACGCATGCACGGAGAGAACATGCAAACTCCACCCAGAAAGGCCCCTGGACCGGGGTTTGAACCAAGGACCTGCTCGCTGAGAGGCAGCAGCTCTACCAGTTGCGCCACCGTGCTGCCCCGTTACAGCAACATGTCTGGTGTTATTCTATTGTTTTTTTGTTTTTGTTTTTTGGGTAGTTCTAAGTTTGTGATATTAGCCCATGTCAGCATTGGTTTAATTAAAAGTAAGCTGAGCTGAAATGTAATCCCTACTCTTCTTTTTTCTATTTATTCCTGCCTCTGTCTCTGTTTCTTACTTTCTGTTTTTCAGAGGTGAACAATAACAAGATACATTTCTCCTCTTTCATTTTTAACAAGGAGAGTATCACTGTGGTTCTTATTCATTAGTATCACACATCACACCTCTGTCACCCTTAGATCTGGGAGAGGCAGAGGTGTCAAAATGACAGTGTGTGCTCATGTTTTTCTTTTTCTCTTTTTTTCTTTTCTTAACCTTCTCAGCCTACACCTTGAAAAAATCTATAAAAGTCAATTTACACTTTTCACTCCTGCTCCTTTTTCTGTGTTCCAGTTTCTGTAGTTATTTTGAAGCCCTGGTCTGAAATGAACAGCATGTTTTCAACAAAAGTGTCATACTTTAAGTATTCCTGCAATAATGAAATGTCATTCTGATTGGCCATACTTCCATAACACTACATCTTAGAGAGAAGTTTTGTCCAAGATGCTTTGTATTTGCTTCCATACCACAGCCAACAATAAAACAGCCAAAGTCATGTTGGAGGCAAGAGCTAAACAGCAATAATTATTGAGCTCGAGAAAGCAATGAGTTACTTATTATATCTACGGTAATTTGTTGCTTAAAATATGCCAACAAGCTTCATATTTTGGACCCTAATATTGAAACACATTGATAATACTTCAACTTAAACAAAACTTCCTGTTGTGCTGCTTCTCCAAACAGATTTTATTTGATTTTTTACATGAGCAGACATGCAGCAAAGTCACGTGTTTGTCTATGAACATAAGACATTAATCATTAATTTTGAGCCAAACAAAGAAGGGGATTCAAAAATGTAATTTTTATTTAGAAAACCTTCATCTCTTTGGCTCTTAAGAATAAAAATGTCTGTTTTATTTAATCAGTTTGACCTTATTACCAGTTGTCAGGTCCATCTAAAGGTCAAGGATGGCCATGCCTTCAAGCTACTGGTTAATATTAATGACCAGGAGCCAATCACAGCTCATCAATAGGTCAGAGGTTATCACAGGGTTGCAGATGCAGGAAGTTAATGTAATTTAAAATGCATCATTTTGTCAATTGTCGACAAAATGACTTCTTTTTTTATGACTTGATGTCTTTGTTAATCAGTTTTTTGTTTGGGATCCATTTAATTTATGATGGCATTTCTTGTTTTTCTTAATCTATATGAACTATCATTGATTTTCAGCAGAAGATGAAATATTATTTACTTTAACTCTATGCAGTCTTTTTTGTTACTTTTTTTATGTTTAAGATTTATAATGAGTAACGAGAAGAGAATATATGAAAGAAACTGAGCAAAATACCAGGAGATTGAAGTTCCTGCAAGCATCCTGAATGTTTTTACATTTATTTTTCTGTTCCACTGGAGCTGAAGGTTTTATATAAATTTCACAGTTAATGACTCAGTTAGCTTGAAATGAGAACAATTTCCAATTATTCCAGTTTAAGATATTCTTTCTTGTCTATTTTAGGGAAGAAAATGGCAACACATAACTGCACCCCTCTAAGAACAACAAGGCTGTCAACAATAATTTCATCCCCCTGCTGCTCATTACATCATTTTATTTTAGTTTTATTTAAGCCGCTGATTATGGTAATTGACCATTCTTAAGATCTTAGAGATGGTGATTACTGGCTTTTTGATCAAACCTAATCACTGAAACCTCAAAGCAAAAATGTCCAAATAGTCTCAGTTTCATCCTGAAGGTCAAGTATGTCCTCCAGAGGTCTGTTGTTTTCAGACGGATAGTGATGACTTTGCCTTAGTGCTGCTTTACAAACCATCCAAATAATGTAGATGGAGGAGATCTATTTGTTCCCTCCAATACTGTCCTACTAACCACAGTTCATCCAATACGCCAGCCATTGTCTTTAATCAATACCAGTGATTTGCACAGGAGGTTGCTAATCAAGTTGTGATTGGCTGAATGAGTCCATGGGGAAAGAAATGACCCTTCTGTAACACAGTGGTTTGAACGTGCACAGATGGAATCAGTTTTTAATGTTCAGAGAAACTCAATGAGCAGAGCTCAAAAGTGAAGAATAGTCAGACTACTCTGAATTTTATCTGTCTGATAGTTTTTAGAATACCTACAGAATGTCCAGAATAGGGTTCCTCTTCCGAAACAAATCCTCACTAACTCAACCTGCTAAACGTCTTCTGGCAAAAATGACAACCCTTCCAGTGTTCACCTATGGTGACGTCATTTACAGAAACACTTCCACAACTCTCCTCCACACATGGTAACTGTTTTACCATGCAGACATTAGATTGGCCACTGGAGCATTTTTTTAGCACTCATCACTGCCCTCTGTATTCCCTGGTGAACTGGCCCTCTCTTCACTCCCACAGACAAACAAACTGGTTTCTGTTGATCTATAAACCCTAACTGGTAAAATCCTATCCTACCTCCATCCGTTACTCAATATCCATAGCAACACGCGTACCCTCCTCTCCAGCAGCTGCATTACCCCATTTCTCCCCAAAGCACGTACCTCATTTGATCATTCATCGTTTCAATTTTCTGCTAACGATTGGAACCATCTACAACAAACTCCAATACTTCCTTCTTTGGTCCCACTTGCATTGTTTAAAAACTCTGTGAAAGCATCACTTGATGACCGCTGCACATGCTTTTAGCAATTTCCTCCTCAGTCTCTGTTGTTACTCTCTTGTACCATTAAACTTGTCCTAGCTCTTTATCATTTCACATGGTCTGTACAACTTGATGTTTAATTGTCAGTTGTTTATATGTTGTCCCTCTGGTGTTCTTCCTCTCATATATTTGCTGCTTCTTGGCCAGGTTCTCATTAGGAATGAGAATTTGTTCTCAACTGACTAACCTATATATCATATAGGTCAAATAAATGAATAAATGTCTACATTTTAGACACTTTCATTAAATATAAATACATAAACTATTAGCAGTTATTTATCCAACTGTACAATGACTGGTAGGAACAAAACTAACAGAGGATTAACTCCACCGTTGTTGCATCTTGTCATTTTCTTAACAACGTAAGGTATAACAGAAATGCCCAGAGGAAACAGCTCTCCTATGACATTATACCTAATTATTACTCTGTGTGTGATTTTTATGAGCATGAAAACTCTAAGCTCAGTGTTTGCGTGTCTCTTCCAGAGTTCCTGGTGTAACCATAGCTACAGATATCATCTGTGGATTTCCCGGTGAAACTGAGGACGACTTCCAGGAGACGGTGAACCTCGTGAAACACTATCAGTTTCCCAGTCTTTTCATCAACCAGTTCTACCCCAGACCCGGTACCCCTGCTGCTAAGATGGAGCAAATCCCAGCACATGTGGTGAGTCTGGACATTTATTTTTTTATTTTATTTTGGCCTTTATTTATTCAGGTTATTCAGTTGAGAACACATTCTCATTTTTAATAATGACCTGGCCAAGAAGCAGCAAGTACACAAGTGAGCAGAAGAGCAACATTTAAACAACTGAAATGAAAACAAGAGTAAGAAAGACCCGTAAAGATGGGGCTCCATAAAGTCAGAACCCAGTCTTTGTTTTGGGGGATCTTCAGTCATTCAGTGGTGCTTGAAAAATCTGTGAACCCTTTAGAATTTTCTACATTTCTGCATTAATATGACCAGAAACATCGTCAGATTTTCACACAATTCCTTAAAGTAGATAAAGAGAACCCAATTAAACAAATGAGACAAGAATTTTATACTTAGTCCTTTATTTATTGAGGAAAATGATTCAATATTACATATGTGTGAGTGGTTAGGGTATGCGAACCTCTAGGATTAGCAGTTAATTTGAAGGTGGAATTGGAGTCAGGTGTTTTTAATCAGTGTGATGATGGTCAGGTGTGTGTGGGCACCCTATTTCATTTAAAGAACAGGAGCTATCAAAGTCTCTTCACAACGTATGTTTGTGGTCTTCCTTAGTCCTAGGAGTTGATCAGAGGCTCTTTTCTCAGACCCTGGAGTAGACGTTCCCCGAGGCTGAGCAGACAGATCCTCTCATAGTTGCAGCAGTAGCCGCCACGCAGCTCTCTCTCTCTCTGCATGTCTTTTCTTCTTTCCCTCAACCTCAGCTACTTTTTCCTTTACCTCTTCTTTGTTTCTGTTGAGATTTATGATTGTCGGTCACTATATTTCTACACATACATTTGTATTATAATTGTACTAACAGTAATGAATAGTGTAGTTATAACAGTTTAATTAAACTTCAATGAAATAGAGAGAAACCTCTTAGCGTTGCTACATGAAGTGACTCTGACTGATGCTGGCACCATGGTGGTGTTGGTGTTTTGTTTACCTGTGAGAATATTTGTGCTTGACAGAGAGTAGTAAAAAGGCTAAAAAGGTGTTTTATTTAGTATTTTTTGTGAGCGGTCCACCTGCTTCAGTCGTTAAAGTGCACAGCACCTTCCTTCATCAGTCAGCATGCAGCTGTTTTTATTCACGTGCCTGGACGCACAAACACAGTGAGCGGTGGCAGAGAGGCGGCGTCTCAAGCTTGTAGGGTCAGTCATTAATAAAGAGCTCCAGATGGTTTGTCTGGAACACAACTGTGCTGAAAAGCCACAGGAGGGAAGGCTGAAGAAGTGGGTAGGATAGGCAGAGATGTTTGACACAAACAGAGGAGGCAAAAGGGATGAAGGGAAGAATGATTGGAGAGAATTAGGTGAGTGAGAAAGTGTCAAATAAGGAGAACAGCTCGGCCTTTAGGAGTGAACCCTAACCCTGCTGGAGCAGCACAGGTTCAGAGTTTCCCTCTTAGCTGTGGAGGAGTCAGTGCTCCGAGCCTGCAGCTCTCTTTGTACGTGACCTTTAATATGGACTTCTTTTTCTAAGTCCAGTGTGGAAATAAGGTGGAGACAATCAGATTTACTGAGACACTCTGTGCCTGTGGTACACTCTCAGTGAGAAAAGGTTTAGCTGTCTGTATTTTTTTTAATCTGAAATTTCTTTCTCACTGTTTCGTCTGCCATTATAAACAAGGGACCAAACATTTAAACAATATTCTGTTTAAACTTTTAATTCAACATTTGAAAAAATGCACAAGTCTGCATTTTATACAAGCTGTATTTGTCAAAAACTCTGTGTTATCATGTAAATACCCCAAAAATCTGATAGTCTGGGTTAGTTTATTCTTGGCATTTATGTTTTTTGAATAAAGACAAATTCAGAAATTTGATTTCCAGCTGAAAATGAGCATGAGAAAAGCCCGTGCGTTTTGCAAATAAGCAAAGCAGAAAAAGGAGAATCCAGCTACTGAGGTCCAGGTGTTGGTAGTTTTTTTGTCCTGTTACATACAGTAATAAATGATATGTGAGAAAAGTCTGGATATCTGGGAGAGTAGACACAGATGGAGAAAACAGGAGACCACAGGGATGGCAGAGAAAAGAGGGCATGTTGAGAAGAAAGGATGTGAGCGCTATTAGCTGGGATCTCCATAATCATCCCCAAGTGACTGGAACTTAGCCTTGATAAATGGACTTAGGGAATGGATGGTGTGTGTGTTGTGGGGGGGGGGGGGGGGGGGGGGG